ATTGGAAAAGAAAAATTTCCACTTTTACACAGATCAGATTTAAGTTAGTACTAAAAGAAAAGGCTGATGCATATATTTCATGCTTAAATGAAGCAAATATAAGCAGCGGAAGACAGATTTAAAGATAGTGAAATTCTGATGTTAACATTGTAGCTGTAAGATAAATCAGATGCTAAAACCCAAATATCATGACAAGAAGGTCAATACTGAATTTCATAAACTACATAGGAACTTTTTTTGAAAATAATAAACTATATAGGAACTCATACTTTGCAATTGATAGAATACTGCAAGCTTCAATCAAGCACTCGGTGTCATCTAGAAACAACTGCTCCATAATTATCTCAATCAGTTCACTTCTAGAAACTATTACTTTCATGGGAACTTCATGGCAGACCAGATTTCCAATGATTCCAAGGCAAATCTCCTGAGATAACAGTAGCAAAGCAAATAAAGTGGCATATACCAGAAGTACCCAAAAGAATAATACAATTACTAGCAATAGAACATAACTGAAACTGGGCATAACATAAACTTCACTTTATCACATGATAATCCTCTCAAGGAAATTGTTATGACATAAGAAGACTTCAGGATCAAAGCGAAATGTGAATTACCGTAACACGCACTGGCTGGGAAACCATAAGGTTGGCTAAAAGCACCTCAAGGATTAGATTTTCAACCTGCATTATCAAGAAAATGTAAATTAGAATCCCAGCAGAAACGGATACGAACTTGGAGTCTGGTAATCACATACATCGATAAAATGTAATGCTACTATTGTTTGGAAAACATCATCAACAAAACCTTTGCGCTTGCCCTCTCCCAGATATTGATATTTTTAGTGAATAGTTGCACAAACGCATATCATTTTGTTTCCGGATTTCCCTTATACAGAAATGGCAGTAAAGAGAGAGAGAGAGAGACCAATCGCAACGTATGAGATGTGGAGCATCAGGAAATAAATATGCTGCACATAATATTTCAAGAAGCACAAATATCAATACCAGATGGGTTAAGGAAATGTTCCTATGTTTAACAAACTAATTAGTCTTTTAAAAGTTGAGATATGATTTTATACCTTTCTTTGGAGTTTGAATTTACTTAAATTTATGCCTAGTACCTCTTCGAAATCTGTTACCAAATTCAGTATAATTTGACATGGAACTGAAATCAAATAAAAAACAAGCAACAGAAGAGGAAACACGTGCAAAGAGTAAAAGTTTGAGTACCATAAGTTCAGCGTGAGTCCTACTTGTGGCAAGATCCCATAAAACACAGCCATACTCCTCCCAGACCTCTTCTTCTGCTGATATTTTTTGCTGTCTGTTTCTATCACATGAATTTTCCATTTCTCCTTCTTGACAAGCAGATTGTTTAACAGTATCAGCAGCATTCTCATTGTCATATCCACTTGCCTCCATGTGGTCATTACTTGAGCTTTGAACACGAGAAGCACCATCAACAACACCATCACAATGGTCACGAGTCCCAGTTCCCATAGGAAGGAGTTTACGGATTAATGAAATTATGTAACTAGGGTCGACTGTTGTTGAAATGTCAAATAACTGCCAAAAACACAGAACAGTAAAGCAAATTCAATCGATCATTTCATGGCGAAGTATAATATAATTCCTCCATAGATGTACAATACTTGCACTAGGCTTCTGTATCTTCTTCAAATACAGAATCATCTGAAGGTTATTTCTGTGCAAAATTTTCACTTAAGAGAAATGGAGCTCTGACTCACAAGAACATAAACTCTAGAAAAGGAAACTAAGCAAATTTAATCACCAGAAGATACAACTTAGCTTCATAAATAATAATTCACCAAAGACGGTATCGTAACTAAGACGAAAGTAACAAGAAAACTGAATTGAAGAAAGGGAGTTTAAAAAAAAAAAAAAAACCAATAAATTATAGTATTTGGATTATTACTTCATCGAGTGGCGCAGAGGGGTAATGTGCAGGTGCGTCATGGTCTTCTCCAACTTCTCCTTCCTCTTCTTCTTCTTCTCGATGTTGTTCTTCTCCTCCTTCTCGTTGTTGTTCTTCTCCTCCTTCTGGTGCCATAGGCTTTGATTTGGTTAAGAATTCGAAACTGTTGATATTATTGTCTGCTGAAAGTGCTCTGAAGCTTTCCTTTGCTTCGGTTTGTTTGCGAAATGGAGCCGGCGAGCTTATGACC